GAGGGGGAGGGGGGAGAGAGGGAGAGAAAGAGGAGTGGAATCCACTCTTTGATGATGAACCCACTCTCCCACAATGATGGTGTTAATCCATTCATGAGCGTGGAGCCCTCAGGGCCCAATCACCTCTTAAAGTCCTACCTCTCAATACTGTTACAAAGACCATTAAATCTCAGTCTGAGTTTCGGAAGCAAGAAAGTGCAATCCAGAGCACTCAACGATGTGCTGGGACCATAACTCTATGCATCCTTGTTGGATGTGTAAACTCTCCTTCACACAGTTGTGAGGGTCAATTCCCAACCGTGTCAGAATGGCTACCTCTTGGCCAGGATCCCAGGGGGCTGAGGTCAGGGTCAGGCTCTGGCCTGCTCCTCCGAAGGGGAAAGCTGGAGGCGATCAGTCTTTGCCTCTCAACCACAGCTGCCACCAGCCTCTTGGCAGAAGGTGCCAGCAGCCCCAGGGGGACAGACAGCAGGAGTCCGTTGGCTTTACCTTTTGCCACTGGAGGCAACACTGTCCAATAGAACCCTCTAGACTTAACACCTAGAAGAGAGCTGTCCAGTAGAACCTTCTAGACTTGTTCTTTCTTTTTCTTTTTTTGAGTCGGAGTCTCTGTTGCCCTGGCTAGAGTACAGTGGCACGCTCATGGCCACTGCAGCCTCGACTTTCTGGGCTCAGGCGGTCCTTCCGCCTCAGCCTCCTGAGTAGTTGGGACTACAGATGTGTATCACCATGCCCAGCTAATTTTTTGATTTTCTGTAGAGATGAGATCTTGCCATGTTGCCCAGGCCAGTCTAGAACCCCTGGGCTCAGACAATTCTCTCACCTTCGCCTGCCAAAATGCTGGGGTTATAGGTATGAGCCACCAAACCTGGCTGAAACTTCTAGACTTAAACATGTAGACTGGAGCTGTCCAATGGGCCTTCCTAGACTTAAACATCAAGACAAACTCTGTTTGGTGGAACTTTCTAGACTTAAACATGTCTACTACACCATCCAATAGAATGTTTTTCAATGAGAGAAATGTTCTAGATTCTGCCCAGTATGGTGGCTACCAGCCACATGTGACTGTCAAGCCACTGACATGTGTCCAGTGTAACTTATTTCCTTTAATTTAAGTTTAAACATAAGCAGCTCGTGTGGTTGTTGGTTGCCATATTGAACAGCCAAGCTCTTGGTCTCAGCCTCCTTCTGGATTGAGACCACAACTCCCTGGGCCCCAAGTCCCATAGCTGAGAACATGCCTCGTTGTCACCAACCATATCAACAGTAGCAAAAGCCACCATGTGTTGAGCATTGATCAAACCATCTAATTGATTCCTCCCAGGCGCTTTGGGGTGGCAGGAGGCTGCTAGATTCTCATCCATTATTGATAGAGGAATGGGGTGCTCACTGGGTGACTCTTGCAGTCACTAGGGGCTGCCAGCCACTTGGCCAGCCGGGACTGTCCAGTTCGGGGATGTTCTGCTTTCTCCCGGGCCGCGACTCAGAGCTCAGAGACACCAGCCTGCGGCTCCCTGGTGACCTGTCCAAGGTGCTGATGTGCCGGTAGATGACCAAGACGCCCCTCTCAGGCCCATTGCTGGGACATCCATGGGGGCCTCTGGCCTCTAAGCTCCCAAGTGCTGGGAGGGACTTGGTAGAGGCTGAGCCCCCTCTCTGGTTCTGCCTCTCAGGGCCATGAAACAAAAGTGCACAGGGTTTTCTTCCCTTTGCAAAGGAATCTCAGTTGAGAAGAGACACTTGAACTCAGGCCAAGAAGTTCAAAAGTGTCCTTACCTCCCATGGCGGCCAGTAAGGTGAAGTCCTGAGGATCACCGGAGTCCCATGGTGGCCAGTAAAATGGAGTCCTAAGGGCCACCAGAGTCCCATGGTGGCCAGTAAGATGGGGTCCCAAAGGCCACTGAAGTCCCATGGTGTCTGGTTAGATGGGGTCTTGAGGATCACTGGAATGTGCTTCTCACCTGGTCTTGGTGCTTCCCAGCTTTCCCTACTGCTATGGAGATGCCCAGGACCTGGCCGAGCTGTTGTTCACAGGTCTTCAGCTGTGCTAGCCATGAGAAGCTGAGCCACTCTGAGCTGGGAAGGAGACATTAGTCTCTGGGCAATCGGTGCAGGGATTGGGGCTGGTGGCCCTCTCTGCTCTCACTGTCAATGACCAAGGAGCCCATCTATGAACCATCGCGAAGGTGCCACCATCCATAACCCAGGAGTGAGCCGATTGTCGTCTAGTATCTTCCTCTGCCAAGGAGGGGGAGGTGGGAGAGGAAAGAGCCCACAGGCTGTCCCTCCTGCTCAGAGCCCCCCTGGTGGCAGCCTTCACCAGACGGAGAGCACCAACAGCAAGCAGAGTCAGAGCTGGGACCCTGAGGACTACCAGAAAGAAAGAGAAGCCCCTCTGCAGCCCTCAGAAGCTTCACTAGAGGCTTTCATGCACCCTGGAATGATCCCAGAAATTCCAAGGAGAGCCCTTGGACTCGTGCCCTCTCTGTGTCAAGACCCGCCCACCTAGTCCTCAACATCATCACCACCACCAGCAACAAGGCTACTTGTTCAGCCTTCTCCTTGGAGCTTCACACCGGGCCTGTAGAAACCTGTGTGCCCACAGAGGTTCTGATGCACAAAGTGACTTGTTCAAGGTCATCCAGCAAATGTGTGACAGAGCCCTGGTTTGGTCCCAGGTCTACCTGGTAGCAAAGTCCATGTCCTGGGCCCCTGTCATCCCCACACTGGTTCCAGAATTATGGCTGGGGGTCAGGCCGGGCTAGCCTCTAGAGGGACCACTCGCTGCACCAACTGTCTTTTGTGGGGCTGTGGCTCTCCAGCTCTTGCTGGATACATGGGGAAGGGACTCCTGTTGGTATAGTCAGTGACAACCCCAGGAGTCAGGCTGCCTGCCCACCTGGCTGCTGTGCCTCGGTTTCCTTGCAGGCTGAGAGGCTGTGTTACCTGGGAGAGAGCCCCCCAGGCCACTCAGTCACCCCCTTCTGTGATTCCTCAGGTCAGCCAGAGCCCCCTGGGCTCTGCCCTGAAGGCCTGAGTACAGGACACCTCACTGACATCCAGGAGAAGTCCCTACACTTTCTCAAGTCCCTGAAGGTATGCCCCGGGCTGGTGACAACTGTATCCCCTCAGGCCTCTTCTATTTGGGGGGTTACTGGGAGCAGCCTTTGTCCTCCTAAGACTGAGCAAGAGAGGTTCCAATGCACAGAACTGCAGAGGTTAGAAATGAGTGGCCCTAGTGAGCAGGAGGGGGCATCGTGGAGGCGGAAGGATGCCCTAAAGCCCCAGGGACAGAGGGCATCGGCTGGAGGGAGGAGCCCTGCCTGGTGCGGCCCGTCAGGGTGACCCTCTGAGCAAGGGGCCTGCCCTGTCTGGCTGAGGGCAGCAGACTGGGGTGCCTGGAATGCTGAGGTGGGCATTCTCCCTACAGCAGGACCAGCAGATGCAGGGGCAGGCGCTGGCCCTCTTGCGGCAGCGGGCGAAGCTGGAGGCCTGGGAGACGCAGAAGGCCCTGGATGAGCTACTCTTCCGACACCGACTGGAGGTAGGCTGGCTGCTGGGTGCTCTCACCACAGGGGGCTGCCTTTCCTGGCTGGAAGTTGGTTGGGAGAGTTGGTGGAGCTGGGGAGGAAAGGGAAATGTTCGGCCATGTGACCTGGGCCACACAAAGAAACGAGTCAGAGACCAGCAGGGCATCCTGGTCTACAGCCTCACTTTATGTGTGTGTATTTTTATTTTGGGTCAAGGTCTCACAGTTGCCCAGGCTGGAGTGCAGCGGCACAATCATGGCTCACCACAGCCTCAACCCCCTGAGTTCAGGTGATCCTCCTGCCTCAGCCTTCAGAGTCGCTGGGAATACAGACACACGCCACCACACTCAGTTAATGCTTTTTATCTTTTGTAGAGCTGAGGTCTCGCTATGTGGCCCAGGCTAGTCTCGAACTCCTGGGCTTGAGATCCTTCTGCCCCAGCCTCCCAAAGTACTGGGATTACAGATGTGAGCCACCAAGCCCGGCCTCTGGAGCCTCACTTCAAAGCAAAGTCTCAGAGCAGAAACAGGATGTTTTGGCCACTAGTGTCCCTGGGGGCACATACACTGGAGTTCCCCTGGCCAGGGCCAGAGTTGGGTCACAGGTGACAATCTGAGCCTCCTACTTGTCCATGTCCTGGGCTTATTAGGCACCTGAGCTGTGGGATCTCCTGTGGAGCCTGGAGTTCCTGCCCCCTGGCAGGTATCTCACAAGGAAGGAAAGGACCTGACATCCCCTGCACCTGCTTCTGCCCAATCATCCTGCGCCAGCACTGGTTAAGCCTGGTCAGACTGGCAGCACCTGACCCATGAAGGGGAAGGAGGTGGTGACCCTGGCCAGCAAGGCATTAACTGGAAGGTCGATGGCTGTGACCTGGGTGGATGTGATGAACCTTCTAGAAAGGGCATTTTCTTCTTTAGTCCTGAGACTGTTGGTGGGATATCTACTCGCAGTACATTTTCAGAGGTGTTTCCAGGAGAGCAATGACACCACACAAGCATGTGCCTGCATGTGTGTATGTGTACGCATGTGCACATGTGCATACCTGTGGGAGCACACATGTAGGCACTCTCAGACCCACAACAGCACAGCCACACCCGGCTGGCTCCCCTCTCTCTCCTCCCTCCTGCTCCCTCATGTATCCCCTACCCCTGCATCACCCCTGCTGGGTGACTGCAGCCACACCGGATCAAGCTGGGGTTTCCTTCCGTGCTGCCAGCCCCCAGAATACCCCAGCCCTGGCACCTGTCTGTCTCCTCCACCCCTGCTGTGTCCAACCCTCTCCAGGAGGTAGGGTGGAGGCTGCCGCTTCCACCTGGAAGATGGACAGACAAGGCCCCTGAGGTTGGAGACTTGCCCGGCTTCGGGCTCCTCCCAGAGACCTCACTTGGCCTGACCTGACTGACCCAGTGCCCACCAGCTGTGGAGCTGCCTCAGCCGTCTGTCCGTCTGTCCAAGACACACACACCCTGTCTTCATAGCAGCTGATGGAGACCCAGGCCAGGCCAGACATAGCCTCGAAGCGGGAACAGCCACTGATCTGTGGGGACCCAGAGCCAAGGACAACCTCTCATAGCACTGGGACAGCCAGGCCCAGGTGAGACTCGAGGCCAGGGCTAGCCACCCCGCCCAGCGTCGATGAGGGCGGTCGGGGGAGCCTCTGGTCTGGGCATCAGACATTGGCATTGCTGGCACTATGGGCTCTGAGTCTTCAGGGCTTGTTCTCATCCAGCAGATCACACCCATCCCTGAGTATAGAAGCTGCCACATCCTCCCAGTATCCCAAGGACAGACCAGAGAGTGTGTCGGAGTCAGCCTCTGCAGGTGAGAGTATCTTCAAACCCCCACCTGGACCAAGCAGCAGGCAGGGCACTCAGCCAGCATGCACCCGAGCCAGGGGGTGAGCAAGTCAGGCACACAGGAGAGGGTTCCAGCATGACACAGCAACATGCCCAAGGCCACACAGTCAGGGCAGAACTGGGATTTGAAATCAAGCCTATCTGATGCCAGAACCCATGTGATTAACCCTTGGGCACCAGCAGTCCCTGGCATCCCTTGAGCCGAGGAGGAGGAGGAGGAGGAGGAGGAGGAGGAGGAACAACTGGGGGAAGGTAACTTGGCATCACAGCAAGAAAGTTTAGGGTCAGACCGGGTATGGTGGCTTATGCTTGTAATCTAGCATTTTAGGAGGATGAGGCGAGAGGATCGCTTGAGCCCAGGAGTTTGAGACAAGCCTGGGCAAATAGTGAGACCTTGTCTCTATAAAAAAAATTTTTTTTAATTAGCCAGGTGGTGGCATGCACCTGTAGTCTTAGCTACTGGGGAGGCTGAGGCTGGAGGATTGCCTGAGCCCAGGAAGTGGAGGCCATGGTGAGCCATGATCATGCTACTGTACTCCAGCCTGGGTGACAGAGTGAGACCCAAACTCAAAAAATAAAAGAAACCTCGGATCACAGTTAGATACTAGGTGAACTGGTTCAACAGTGAGGAGGAATATGGCTCAGTTATGTGAAGCCAACCAGTAGGCAAGCACAGGCTGCTGTCTGATCCTGCTCTGGGGACACAGGTGTTCTAAGCCCCTCCAGCTCCACTCCTGGTTGCCCTCCAGGGTAGCTGTGCCACTCCCCTGAAGCCTGGTTACAGCCTGGCTGGGTCTCTTGGGGACAGGGACTTCTACCTCATTCCAGGTCTGCCACCATGCCCACCCCATGACTTTGAGTTACCTCCAGATAACCGCATTCCAGAACCAAGTTTATAGTTCGTTAAGTGGCTCCATATCGCGCTTAGTCTGGGGCTAATTATTCCCTACAACTGATGCAAGAATGTTTCCCTTATACTACCCAATGACCTGTGAAACATTAGGGCTTCCAGACCAGCTAGAGGAAATAGGCATAATTCCCAGCCTCCTAGTCCTTTCAGATGCTTCCACCTCAGCAACTGGTAGCTTATTAACATGCATTCATTGGTACTCAGGGGAACATTCCATGGATCTCTGGGGTTTCCTCTCTCCTCTCTGTCCCCCCAACTCTAGCTGCCATCATCTCCTGACCCTCAGTTCCATCTCCTCTGCTCTGGTTGGGGGGGGGAACCAGGCTCAGCTTCAATTTCTCCTGCCTGCACTGTAGCCTAGAAACTCCGTCAAAGAAGTAAGCTGTTATAATTTCAGGTCTTATTTCTTTTGTTTTCTGTCTCTCAGGGATCCCTGTGCTATTGCCTGATGTCCAGTATCTAGAGAGATGTTTGTTCATGTATGTGCGTGAATATATATGTATATATGCACATAGAACTATCTATACAAACATGCACATATGTATGCATATATGAATATAACTTCTTTTGGTTGTTTCAGATGGGATGGTAAATCCAAAAGCCAAACTCCTTTACTCTCTCTTTGTGAGACGTGAAAGTCCTTAATGATTTTTTTTTTTTAATCAAAGTCTTACTCTGTTACCCAGGCTAGAGTGCAGTGGCACACTCAGAGCTACTACAGCCTCAACCTGCTGGGCTCAGGCGGTCCTTCCACTTCAGCCTCCAAGCAGCTGGAATTGCAGTGCGTGCCACCACTCCCAGCTAATTTTTTGCTTTACTGTAGAGATGAGGTCTCACCAAGTTGCCCAGGCTGGTCTTGAACTCCTGGGCTCAGGCGATCCTCTTCCCTCTGCCTCCCAAAGTGCTGGGATGGCAGGCGTGAGCCACCATGCCTGCTCTTTATGATCATTTTCAGAGTATAGCTTCCTTTTTCCATTCCACTTAGAACGGAAGGGTGACTAGCTGACATCAGCAGCAAGCTAGCTGCTTAAGCTGGAAATCTGGGCTCTGTCTCACCCTGCCAGCTCCTTGGTGCTGGACCTTGAGTTGTCATCCTTTCCCTCTGGGCCTCAGTCTCCCCTTCTGTGGATGCAGAGCAGCTGGCCTGTCCCCCACTGAGCTCCCTCTCCTTCTGACCTGGTCTTCCCCATGATCTGTGGGGTCACACACCAGAACTTCCAAAAAAGACTATGGATCCCCAGTGTGGCCTTGTGAAGACTTGGTGTGATGCTGTGTATGTCACGGTGGAGGCATTAAACTGCCCCAGACATACAGCTTTTGTGTGCCCTGGACACAGGGCACTTGATCCCCCACATGACCCAACCATGGCCTGCTTTCTGTCCTCAGAGCTGGGAAGGCCTGACCAAACTGCATCCTGGCAGCCCCTGGCCAAGCCCTGCCCTCCAGACAACTCCACCCACCAGGTACAAGGAGAGGTCTCCTGTTGGGGGAGGGGCACAATTTCAGTGTCTAGCATGGCCTGGCAACGGCATCAGGCCTGAACCCTCCCTCCACTGCCCGGGCCCATCAGATGCTCAGGTCTGCCTCTCCTGGGCCTGCACCCATGGGGTCTCCACTGCAGGTCCTGAATTGGGAGGCTCTTCCTGCCATCAGCTCACCCACCCTTCCAGTTGACAGCTACCCAATCCCTAGGTGGTAGGTGAGGGCAGGCATTTCGACAGGGTGCTTCGGGCAGTATTATCCCTTGCCCAGGTTGTACATTTCAGGGCAGGTGGCCCAGCCTTTCTGGAACCCTCTAGAGCACAAACAAGTAAGTGCAAGGCTGTAATGATGAGGACCCCGCCTGCCCACAGGGAGTTTAGG